CCAAATAATAGCCTCCTTGACCTCATGCTAGTCCTAAAAACAAGACGGCTAGCAGATGGCTCCGACACAATTCAAGGCGCCTAGTCCCTGCCGCTGCCAGATGACGGACCCAACGCTTCGGAGAGACCAGGCCTTTGCAGAACTATAGCGCCGCTTGGTCCCGAGGGGTGGACAGTGCTATCAGCCCATTTTTATAGGCAGGGAAACGGGATTAGGAAAATACACTAGCCCGATGTCGCCCAGCCACTAAGGGGAAAGCACGCCAACCCGAGCCCATCTCGCGGAGCCGGCAGCGGGGGGCCCAAGCCTCTTACTCTTGGATGGACACACCGTCACCCGTCTCCGCCGTGCCTGGAGCCCAGAAACGGCCACGGGTGTCCGGGAGGTGGCAGGAGCAGGCCGGGTGACCGTGTGCTTCGGCCCCGAGGCCGGGGAGCTGACCCTGGAGGTCCCCTGGGTGGTCGGGACGGGCTGAGCCTCTGAAAGTAAACAACAGCGACGGCTCCCGAGTTCCACCCAAGACAGTCAGAACAAGGCTGTGGAGGTGCCCCTGCCAAGAGATAACTAAACACGAATGTCCGCGGATAGCCCGCTATGAGCGTGCTGTTGTTCGTTGTTCAAAAGGGAGATTTGCAAGTGTAAGAAGGTCTTCTGGCCGGGCGTGGTGGCTCGAGCCTGTCATCCCAGCACTTTGGGAGGCTGAGGCAGGAGGATCGCTGGAGGCCAGGAGTTTGACACTAGCCTGGACAACATAGCAAGACTGTGTCTCTACAAAAATTAGCTGGGTCCGTGGTGGCATGTGCCTATAGTCCTAGCCACTCAGGAGGCTGGGGCAGGAGGATCACTTGGGCCCAGGAGTTGGAGGCTGAAGCGAGCTGTGATCGCACCACTGCACTGCAGCCTGGGTGACAGAGCAAGACCCTGTCTCAAAAAAAAAAAAAAAAAAAAAAAAAAAGTTCCAGACCAGACCTGTTAGCCTCAATTTGAGATTTTCTCAGAGGTTAAGAAGAATCCCCAAGAATGGGGTCTATTTTCCTCTGTCTCTGTCCCTGTCAGGAATGAGACCCCCCCTCAGGGGACAGGACCCTGGGTCTAAACGTCCAGCACTGTTCTGATGTACCCAGCACTCGGGCAAAGTCCCCATCACCTCGAGGTACCCATTTCACAGATGAGCAAAGAGAGGCTTGGCAGGGGCAGAAGCAAGGCCTGTGCCCCACCTGTGCGGCAGCTCCTCATGTCCTTGGCTAGCAGCATGCCGTCGGGGCAGGCGCAGGTGAACTTGGGCGAGCGCGGGTTGATCTGCGGGGCCGGGAGACACAGGTACTGGCAGCCACCGTTGCGGAGTGTGGACCTCTCACACCAGTTCACCCCTGGGGAGGAAAGAGCGAGGAGTCAGGGTGAGAATGAGATAGCCCAGAAAATTCCAGAACATTCTGGAAAATTCCAGAGTACCCAGGAGGGAGTCTCAAGGCGGGGAGTGGGGGGTATGGCCAACCCCATCCTTACCTCTCGGCTGCGTGAGGTTGTGAAAGAGGACCATGTCCTCCGGGGACAACAGGTTCTCAGCCACCAAATGAATGTCCGAGCCCGTGAGGCGGTTGGCACTGAAGATGGCTTCATTGATGATGTCCGTCCAAAACACTTTGTCCTGCAGGGGCGTTAAGGAAGATGACAGACGGCTTTAGCCGCTGAAAAAGGACACAGACTGCTGTCTCCCCAAGTATTAGTGTTCCACTGTGGTGAAATACAACGTAGAATGTTCTATCGTGACCCCTCCTTTGTTTCCTGTAGAGACGGGGTCTTGCTATGCTGCCCAGGCTGGTCTCAAACTCCTGCTCAAAGTGATCACCAGCTCGGCTCCAAGTGCTGGGATTGACAGGCGTGAACTGGTGCCCCAGGCATCAAAACTTTTTTTGTTTTGAGACACGAGTTCTCACTTTGTTGCCCAGCAGAGTGGAAATCGCCGGCGTCCAAGCCTAGCTCACAAGCACTCAAACTACTGCTCAGTAATCCTCCTTCCTCAAGCCTCCCGAGTAGCTGGGACTCACAGGCATCGCCCATTTTTTCCTAGACCGACTTAGTGGCAATGAATTTCGTTCTATTTATAGTCAAAGGACGGAGGTCTCGCTCTTGCTTCAGGCCTGGTCGAACTCCTGACTCCGAGCGATCCTCCCCCTCAGCCTCCCAGAGTGCCGGGATCACAGGCTGTTGACCACCGCGCCGCCCCGCCACAGGTTTTGACAACCAAATTGCCAAATTCCCCCACTGGCAAATTGCTTCCAGCCGAGACCCCCTGGGGCTTAGGCCTTTCGAAATTCCTTTTGGTAAAAGAAAGAAAAAACAGAAATAACTCCAGGTCCGCAGACCTCCCTACCTACAGGAGCCAAAGTTATCAGCGTCGCTTCCTTGGCCGCAAGCGACGCGGGCTCTCACAACCCGCCTGCGCTGCGCGACTTCAATGAGCCACGGTCTCAACTCGAAAATGGCGCCAAGGAGAAGTGCCGCCAGCCTCTTCTCGTCCTCCAAGACCGTCTTCCGTCGCGCCCGCGCCTTCACATGTGGAACTGGAATCGATGCACGTCCCCCAGTAGAGCCGGCCGCTGGAAGAATCAGAACGCCCAAGGGGACGACCAAGAGTCAGTGGCTGTGCCAGATTCAGAGGCCCTTGATGGGCTGGCTGCTCTCTCCCCAGGAAGAGAAGCATCTAGAAAAATCAGCTCTGATTGCGTGTGAGACTGAACCCCACGGCGTGGCGCGTGGCATGTGCCCACCGTCTGGCTCCCGCCCTGTGTCACCCTCTGGGGGGGGCAGGGGTCGCAGGTCAGGACGGCCCCAGGGCTTGTCCAGGAAGCCCCCGTCCTGCAGAGCGAGGCCATCCCTCGAACATACCCAGGGTGATGCCGTTGGGCCACTGGATGTCTTCTGTCACCAGCGAATACACGTCCACGCCGTTCAGGCCCCCTTTCTTGATCTTGGCAGGGGTCCCCCAGTCGGTCCAGTACATGAAGCTGGAGGGGGACAGGCAGAGCAGACATGAGCTGGCCGTCGAGGGGGCAGAGAATTCAGACTACGACAGCCCGGCCCGGACTCGGGAAACGGCCCCTGCGTGGGGCTCTGAATTTGTTTTCCGCTTTTGTTTTTAAGAGATGGGGTCTCGCTGTGTTGTCCAGGCTAGTCACGAAGTCCTGGGCTCAAGCCCTCCTCCTGCCTCAGCCTCCCGAGCAGCTGGGGCAACAGGCGTGAGCCACGCGGCGCCCGGCCTCTTGGTAATTTCCTAAAACACCCAGAATTCGTTTTCATCCTACACGGTATGACCGACCAGTCTAAACACGGTCTAGGAAACCGGTTACGAGTGAATTAAAACTCGCACGGTCTCTACTGAGCACACAGAGTGCTTTGCACCGCCGGAAGGTGATGGACCCAGGGGGCAGAAAACGAGCACGGCCACAGAGCACGGCCACCTGACTTGCATCTGCCTGGGGTGGCTCTGGGAGTCTCTCTCTGGCTCTGAGCTGGCAGTTGTGTGGCCACATGTCACCCCATCCGATGCTCCCTGACACAGCAAGCGTTTGTCTTACTCAGCGAGGCCCAGCGCCGCTCGCAGGGTCTGTTCCATCTACATGAGCCTCTCTTCCCTGCCCCGCCCTTCCCCGAGCCTCCGGACACCACAGAAGGCGCTTGTCCTCTGCCTTCTGCAACGTGCTCTCCCCTCCCCCAGACCGGACCGCCCCGGAGTGTTGCTGCCAGGACAGACGGTGTCCCAGGGAGTCAGTGCCCCCGAGAAATTGTGCAACGGTGCCTCTCACGTCCCCGCGTGGCAGGCGCAGCCTGACGGGTACAGGGTGCACGGGGCAGGCGCGGGGCCGCCGTTCCTGCCAGGGGACACGGGTTTCGGTGTCCTGAGCCCAGAGCTGCTGAGTCAGCCACGCCGCCCGCCTGGGCTCCGCCTGGGTGACACTTTCTCTCCCCGTCCTGTCCCCAAGCTTCACACGCAGAGGGCGACCCCAAAACTAGACTAACTCAATGGAGGACCTTCGTATTTCTCTCCCTCTCCAATCCCATCCTGTGGCCTGGGGACTCTGCCGCAAAATACTAATTACATTTGTTATTTCCATTTCTCGTTCGATTTGTAACGAGGCGGGAGGATCACTTGAGGTCAGGAGTTCGAGACCAGCCTGAGCGGGAGTGACACCCTGTCTCTACTAAAAATAGAAAAATGAGCCGGGCATGGGGGCGCATGCCTGTAGTCCCAGCTACTCGGGAGGCTGAGGCAGGAGGATCGCTTGGGCCCAGGAGGAGTTCGAGGTTGCTGTGAGCTAGGCTGACGCCACGGCACTCTGCCCAGGCCGACAGAGTGAGACCCTGTCTCAAGAAAAAAAAAAAGTGTAACATATGATCTATATTAAATTCTGATACTCATTGAAATTAGTATTCTAATTTTCTTTCTTTCTTTTTTTAAGAGACAGGGTCTGGCTCCGTCGCCCAGGCTGGAGTGCAGTGGGGTGATTACAGCTCACTGCAGCCTCGAACTCCTGGGCTTAAGCGATCCTCCCTCCTCAGCCTCCCAAATGCTGGGATTACATGCGGGGACCGCCGTGACTGCCCTAGTTTTGAATTTTTCCCCCAAGGTCCACGGCAGGCGCTGAGAAGGATCCGAGCCCGCGCAGCCTCAAGCCCAGGCTGCTCCTCCTTCCCTGACAGCGCGGCTCTCTGCCCGAGGCACCAACACCCCGAGTCCCGACGGGCTCTCACTCCCGCCCTGCGCCCCCCGCACCCCCAGCGCACCCGTGAACGGGGTCCACCACGATGGCCCGGGGCTTGGAGCCGATCTCCTGGAACAGCGTTTTCCTCCTGACGCCCTTGGTGTCGGCCACGGACACGGTGCCTGGCACGGAGTCGGTCCAGTAGATGTGGCCGTGGACCCAGTCCACCGCCAGCCCGTCGGGGGCCTGGAGGTCCCCACTGATGACCGTGTCGTGGGGCGCCAGCCCGTGGGCGCCGTCGATCCGGGTGCTGGGGCGGGAGGAGGAGGCGAGCGTGAGACACGGGGCCACCGTCGTGGGCCACCGTGCCACCTAGGGCTGCGAGGGCGCGGCCGCCGCTCACCTGTAGATCTTCCTCTGGGACAGGTCGGACCAGTAGATCCTGTTGCCGGCCACCTCGGTGTCCAGAGCCACCACGTTCTTCAGGTTGGGGATGAGGCTGGCGTACTCGCTGCGGTCCAGCGTCATCTTGCGCACCTCGTGGCGGTTGGTGAAGAACAGGTAAGCGACAGACCCTGGGGGCGCGGGGAGGGCGGTCAGGGCGGCGGAAGGGACCCTCTGGTGGGGCTGAGAGCTCCCGCCGCCCTGCCCCTACGTGTCACCCTGCAGGGGGTGGCGGCCGAGCCCAGGGACAACCCCAGGATAACAGGGTAGGAAACGCTCCCTGCTTCGGACGCTTCGGTATCCAGGGACTTGCTCATCCCGGAGGGGACAGCCCCGGCCAGGGCTGGCCAATGCCCGGAGACAGCAAAGTCTCGCCCCGCCTGCAGTGTGACCGGCCCACACGCCCGTCACCTCCTCTGCTGGGCTGTCAGACTCCAGGCCGCTTGTCCGTCCACCCTAATCCCCCCAGGGCCAGCCCCATGTCCCCACAGCCTGCGAGAAAGACTCGCACTGGCCGATGCTAAGCCTGCTTCCCCGAGTCACCCAGCCCTCCCTGAGGGAACCCCAGCAAAGGGTGCTCCCCATGGGGCCCCCCAAGGCGAGGCCCCCCCTTCCTTTGGGGATCTGTAAGTAACAATCTTGTCTCTGTTTCTCGAGACAGGGTCTTGCCCTGTCGCCTGGGTAGAATGCGACCGCATCCTCATAGCTCACTATAGCCTCCAACTCCTGGGCTCAAGCGATCCTCCTGCCTCAGCCTCCCGAGTAGCTGGGACTACGGGTGTGTGCCACCACGCCCGGCTAATTTCTTCTACGTTTGGTAGAGACGGGGTCTCGCTCTTGCTCAGGCTGTTCTCGAACTCCTGACCTCAAGCAATGCCCCCACCTCCTCACAACTCCTCTGTGATAGTCACACCTCTGGAAAGACAGGACCCCCTGACCTCGGGGAGTCCAAAATGGGTACACGGTGGCAGCTACAACCTCACCCTCACGGTGGGAAAGAAATTCAACTATGTCCACCATTCTGTGTCCCGCAGAGCTCCTGTTCTGTTTTGGTCTCTGTTTTAAGTAGATTTGCCTTTCTGGGGTTATGGTCCAGCTAGACGGGGCGTGGGGGCGTGGGTGGCTCGGGCAACGGCGTTCCAGCTTGTGCTGCCTGAAGTCACGCGCTAGGCTGTCCCAGACAGGAAGGCGGCCTCCTGTCCCCGCCCCGCGGCAGGGCTGGGAACAACTCAGGAGAAAGTTCAGGTGACGAAATTCCCACCTCGCTGGCTCGTGCGGGGCGAGGCCAGCACCTCCCGTCCCCTCCCGTCCCCTGCCCGCGCTCACCCGCCGCCTTGCAGGCCTTGGTGTGGGGGTCCAGCCGGAAGCCGTCCCGACACTCGCATTTGTAGCCGCCCTCCAGGTTCACGCAGAGCTGGCTGCAGGCGTCCGGGTCCTGACACTCGTCGATGTCTGGGGACGGAGACAGAGGTTTGGGGACAGAGACAGAGGTTTGGGGACGGAGACAGAGGTCCGGGGTGGACTTTGCCCAGGGTGCAGCTGATGGACCCAGACCGAAGCCAACGCCTCCCAAAGCATCGGGGGACAGCCCACCCTCTGGGGGACACAGTCAAGCGAACGGCCAAGTGTCACCTCAGCAATGACCCTGACCTCGCCATCCACCCCAGCTGCCCGGCTAAGAGAGTGGACCGTGTCGGCGACATTTCTTCACTATGAATCCCCAAAGCCAAGAGTCTCCGACGGGCCACATGCTCTTCGGAGATCAGGCCTGGGCTATGTGTTCCCTGACATCTCATGACCACCCCTCCCCGTAGAGTGGGGACTGTTGTCATGCCCACTTAACAGATGGGGAAACCGAGGCACGGGGACTTTGGGCGCCACGTCGGGAAGCGCAGAGGGAGGGGGCCCGAGGGGTGGCCCCGCTCGGGAATCACCTTCGCACCGCCGCTGGTCCACCAGCCGGTAGCCGCCGGGGCACAGACACTGGTAGCCGATCTTGAGGTCGTCGCAGATGTGGGAGCAGCCGCCATTGTTGTCCAAGCACTCGTTGGTGCCTGTGCCGGGCCGGGGACACACATCGGTCACCCTCAGGCTTCCAGGTGTCCCTTCCCTGCCACCCTGTGCTATTTTGCCATCCTTATCCCAACCCCAATGAAAGTACCTATATATGAATATGGAGGCCGGAGGCGGCCGGCCCTCCCCGCCCCCGTGGCCGCATTGCTCGAGCGGTCAGGAGTTCGTAAACCAGCCCTGAGCCAACGAGCGAGACCGTACGCTCAGTATTAATAGAAAGAAATTAAGTTGGGCCACTAAGATATATATAGCACAACCAAATTAGCCGGGCATGGGCGCATGCCTGTAGTCCCAGCTACTCGGGAGGCTGAGGCAGAAGGATTGCTTGAGCCCAGGAGTTGAGCGTGTGCTGTGAGCCAGGGCTGACACCACGGCAGGAGCTTGGCTCCCATGAATCTCGAAAAAAGGAAACAATTATATATATGCTGTGTAAAATAAAATCCTGCACCCGGTATAACGGCACATATGTTCAATTAACTTAGCTGTTTTGTCTTTCTACAGAACTATATCCATCAGTTATTCCTAATACTGGTGCTTTTTGTGTGTGTATTGTCTCGGACTTTCTTGTTTACAATCCTTTCGAACTCCTCGTACCAGGGGCCTATGATCGTGGCCGGTGACTTCTATAAAGCCTCTGTGTTGTGGGTTCCAACAGCTCAGGCTAGGGTGCGCAACAACAACGCCCGCGAGTCGGAATGGATGGGAAAAATGAGGTCGAAGTGAAGCTGCTTTTCCTATTGTCTACCTGTCTGCCCAGAAGTCGAAGTGCTTGTGTGTGTGTTTTGTGGTGTCCCCAGAGCCCACCTGCAGTCACTCTCGGGTCCCCTCTGGTTGCAAGCTGCTGCCCCCGCATTTTGTGTTGGTGTTTGTCGACCAATCCCTGGCAGTCTGACCAAGTGGCAACCAGTTCGTGTGCCGTGTGGCACTTGAACTTGTTGGGCCCTTCGCACAGCGTCACTGCGAGAGCCAGACAGAGGAGGGTCAGGGGCGTCTGAGTGCCAGCAGTGTGCTCCGCGCTCTAACGGGACACAGTCCCCCCACACGGGAACACGTGCAAATGTACCCATTACTGAAGCCTAATGAGTATGTAACACCCGGGAACCCACCAATCAGCTTAAGAATTAGAACGTCACCCTGGGAAACTGGGCCCCGCCTCCCAGAGCCAAAGGAGTCCACCATTTGTTTATTTAAATAAAGTTTTATTGGCACACAGGCATGGTGGCCATTCATTTACAAGGGGGTCTGTGGCTGCTGTCAGACCACCCAAAGCTGAGGATATTTCCTATCTGGCCCTTTATTGTAAAACACTGCCGACCCCTAGCCTTGACTATCAGGGGGGACTTTTCCTGACACTTCCCGCTACCCACAGAGGTAACCATAATCTTGAATTCTAGGTTTACCAATTTCTTTTCTTTTTTTTTTTTAAATTCTGTTTAGAGATGGGATCTTACTATGTTGTCCAGGCTGGTCTCAAACTCCTGGCCTCGAGTGATCCTCCCTCCTTAGCTTCCTGAGTAGCTGGGACTACAGGCACATGCCACCACGCCCAGCTGTTTTATTTTTTCATCAGTAGTTTTATCAAACATGTGTTAATGGATAATATATTGTTTGTTTAATTTTGCTCATTTTTCTGGTAATCTCGTGCAACTTGGCTTCCTGCTCTCCATACTAAGGTTATGAGGTTTGGCTGTGTCGCTGCTGGTGGCTGTCACTTCATTTCCTGGCTGTATGGTATTCCACGGTGTCACTACACCACGACTTACACCCGTGTTCACAGCAGTATGGTCCGCAACAGCGAAGAGGCGCAAACAACCCAAGTGTCCGTAGAAACAAAATGTGATCCATCCGTGCAATGGAACATCATTTAAGTTTGTATTAATTTCGGCCGGGCGCGGTGGCTCACGCCTGTCATCCCGGCACTCTGGGAGGGCGAGGCGGGCGGATCGCTCGAGGTCAGGAGTTCGAAACCAGCCTGAGCAAGAGCGAGACCCCGTCTCTACTATAAATAGAAACAAATTAATCGGCCAACTAATATATATATAGAAAAAATTACTGTGATACGAAAAAATCAGCCGGGCAATGGTGGCGCATGCCTCGTAGTCCCAGCTACTCGGGAGCTGAGGGCAGGAGGATGGCGCTTGGAGCCCCCAGGAGTTTGAGTTGCTGTGAGCCGAGGGCTGGACGCCACCGGCACTCACTCTAGGCCTGGGCAACACCGCGAGACTCTGTCTCAAAAAAAAAAAATTCGTATTAATTTCTATTAAATATTACTTAAGTAATTATTTAAAGTTTTTTTTTTGTTTTTTGGCGAAAAAGTCTCACTGTGTTGCCCAGGGCCTAAGCGCCGGGCGTCAGCCTCCCCGCTCCACAGCAATGGGCCTCAAAAGCCAGTGTCCCGCTCTGCGCGGGGCAACATGTCCCCCCGAGTCCATGCCCAGGAGTGTCGCAGGCTACGTAGGGAATTGCAGTGCATCGTTCGCCACAGCTAGGGGGGGGGGGGGCTCAAGCCACCGGCTCTGCACCACGCGACCTTAGGAAGCCACAGTCCTGAAACGTGGAGGCTGTCCCTGTGGAGCCGTTTTGCAGAAAAGCAGAAGGAGGCCTGGGGCGGGTGTAAGTTGCCCCAGGAACCCCCAGCTGCAGGGGCTGGGCAATCCACAAGGCGCGGCGCGAGCCTAGGCCGTTGACGCAGCCCGCTCGTGCGGCTCCAGGGGTCCTTGCAGTCGACCCGGGCCCACTGCCCAGGCTGCCGTGGACTGCAGGCTCCCGTCGCTGAGCAGCTGGAATTCGTTCCGGGCGACAGGTGGCCACACGGCTGGAAAGAGCGGAGTGGCGGTCATTTTCTCAAGGACAGGCGGCCCAGAAAAAGCCTGCCACGTGAGCTTCCCAAAGTAGGGAACAGGAACGGGCTGCCGTCCCTGCCTCGGGGCTGCCTAGTGGAGCCCAGGGACATTTACAGACGGACACGGTCCCCAGCCTCCGGGAACATGCAGAAGACAGGGGCTCACCTCCGAGGCCTGAGGAATGCGTGCTGCTCTCCGCGGCAAGTAAAAGGCAGAGTGGGGCCTTCCTTCCGGCTACGGGGACACTCCACCGGACTACACCATCTCTCTTTTTTTTTGAGACAGAGTCTCGCTTGTTGGCCGCAGGCTAGAGTGAGTGGCGCGTGCGCAGCCCAGCTTCACAGCCAACCTCCAAAACTCCTAGGCTCCAAGCGATCCTCCTGCCTCAGCCTCGCCAAAGTAGGCTGGGGACTACAGGCATGTGGCCACCGATAGCGCGGCTCATTTTTTTCTCTATGATACTTGCAGTTGGCCAATAAATTTCTTTCTATTTATAGTAGAGAACCGGGGTCTCGCTCTTGCTCAGGGCTGGTTTCGACTCCTGACCTCGAGCGAGTCCTCCCCGGCCTCGGCCTCTCAGAGTGCTGGGACCGAGCAGACATTGCGCCACCATGCCTGCCTATTTTCCGTATTTTTAGTAAGCAGATGGGGTCTGCGGCATCTTGCTCCAGGCTGGTCTCAAAACTTCCTGAGGGGGCTCCAAAGTGCCACACTTTGAACGCGTCTGGTGGCCAGCGTGAGGCCAGTGGCTCGTGTCCTGCACGTGGCAGCCCGATGGCGCCGTGTCCGCCTTCCTGCAGAAAGTTTCTATTGGGTGGCTCCGGACCTCTAACCGGAGGCCCGCGAAGGCCAGGCCCGTTGCTTCATTCCTGGCGGCGGGGGACGCTGGGCAGCAGGCGCCAGCTGCCGTTGGACCGCAACGCGTGTGGTCACGTCCCGCGGCCAAGGGTCATGCCGGCTTTGCACGTCACCGCAGGCAGGCCGGGCCTTTCTGGGCAGTTAATACTGATAAAGAGACTGGTGACAGGCGAGGTGAGCTGATGACTGATGAGTCACAGCCCTTGGGAACCGAAGTGGGAGTGATACATTTGAGGATTGTTTCATTGATAAGAGAATTTAGAGGCGCAGCTGGGCAACACAAAGCCAAGACCACCAGGACAACATTACCAGAACCGAAACAAAACAAAATACATAGCAGCTCATGGCTCTTATGAATTATCTCAAAGAAGGACATAACTGGGCAGCTAAAATAGTGCTTGGGGACTTGCATTACTCACTCCATAGTGATCATAAACTGCAAAAGCACGACACCGGGACAACATTATACTGGATTTGAACCATTGTTTAACCGTCCTACAGGGGCCCGCGGGACAAACACACAACCAGGAGATACTGGGGAGGGCTAGGGGGCCCCAGCCGCCGTACCGCAGCCCAAAAATAAAACACTCACACAAGTAAGGACATATATGTACCCACTGCAGTCCGGGAGAGAAAACGCCGTACAGCGCCAGCTGCCAAGTGCACAGCACATCAAGCCGCTAGACGGACGATGAGACATACGATAGGGCGGAGCAGGGAGACACAAACGGTCGGCGCTTGCGGGGGAGCGTGTCGCGGCCGACCGCAGCGCTGCGGCCACTCGTCGGAAGCCAGTCCCTGCAGTCAGAAAAGGTCGCCGTCGCAGGCCAGCAGCCCGGGCAACTGCAGGCAGAGTCGTTGCATTGGAAGTCGGGCGGGGGCCGCAGGTGGCCGCCGGGCACGCCACTCGTCCGACGCGTCGGGGCACGTCGCGGTCCGATGTCGGCAGACGAACTGCCGGGGCGACGCACTTGCCGTCGTGGCAGCGAAACTCCGTCCTGGCGAGCACGTTCTTTGGGGCTTGCCGGGGACAGAGTCGGGAGGGACGCCGGCGCTGTCACCTTGGGTCCCTCCTGGCCGCGGAACACCAGCCCATTCCACACGCAGGGGCGCCGCGCGCCAGAGGGTCCCCCAGCGCAGGCAGATAGACTGCCGCGAGGCCCGCGCCATCACCGCCGCCTCCTTGTCACTTCTGGGCCTCTGCTCGGCCATTGTCTGCGGGCCGAGCCGTCCTCTTGTCACGATCGTTGCGGCACGGCCTGCTCAAGATTTGGGATATA